GTGACGAAGGACAAGCAGACGCTCAGCCCTATCGCTTTTGCGAAAAGAAAATGTACTAACCTTTATTAGATGTTCTTTTTTTTTGCCTTTGGACTTTTCCTATGTTTATTACCACCGAGCCTCATCCTTCTATCGCTCATTGCTAGAAAATAGAAAGACCATACTATTTTAAAGGACGGAACAAAGCAGTAACAAACAATTGACACCAAATAAAGATCCTACCTAAAAGAGACACCCTCCTCTCAACCTGCTTTCTTATTCCTCTTTCAATATTCTGCGCCGCCACCGTCAAGTTAGCTCAGTTGTTCATTCGACATACGTGTTCAGTCCACGCACCTCTCATTTTTCGTGTTTCTTTTTCCTTTTTTTTTCATTTTGGACCTTACCCAGCTGCATCAGAAAGACCGACTGGCGTCACTGCGTCGCCGTGGTCGTGTTCAATGGCAGCGCCTTGCTATTTGATGTCTGCGACAGAGTATCGTTTGTCTTCGTTCTAAAACTCTAGCTATACATCTGGGCCACCTCTCCTCTGCGTGGGACAGTGAGTGCGATAGGCTGCCTTTGTGTGTTGCGTGTGTGTTGATGCAGCCGGTGCCGGGAAGAAGCCATGCGTCCATAATTTAACACTGTGCCCCTCTGCCTTCGTTCACGTAACCTTAGAGTAGACGGCGGTCTGAATCGATAAAGGAACCACGGCGCCAGCTGACATTGAAATAAACTAGACAGTCACGCTTAGCGCCGCTTAAAAGACCAAGTAGTACTTTGTAGTCAACCACGTGTGGGTGTGTTTTTTTTGTTTTCTTTTGTCGAGGCGGTTAGTGCCACATTCAATGCACAGTCCCGCTTTCATTCGTATTGCACGGGCAGGGTGAGGGCGTTAGCCAGCCAACTTCAAAGTGTCGGTGCCAATCTGGTCCCTCCCCCCGATTTTGCTTCCTCCTGAATTCCGCCACCCGCTTCAGGCCGTGAGTATACGCCATTGAAGCTAAAGCTGCGAACCGTCATTGCGAAGTGTGTGGACGGCTCGAGTACTTCCACACGAAAGTTGTCTATCGTAGTGTCTACGCATTTGTGGGATTTCAAGAGACGTGCGTATTGAACGACATTGACAGCCTTGGCTGTAATATCACAATGAAACGAAGACTGGATGTATAGTTGCAAAATTAACCCCAAAAAAGGCTGTTAAGAAGAAAGAGACACTGGAAATGTCGAGAAACGTCTGAAGTGCACCAGTAGAGAATCTTCAACAAGGAACCACGCAGAGAACCGAGAACTCTAGAAGGTGCTTATTTTTATCTAAATTGCAAAAATGAAAAACAACTTCTTTTTATAAATACTCGAGTGCATCCCGAAGGGAAATCCTGCATACACTGCTGCAGCCGCCGTCATTATTTTGTAATGCTGTAAAAAAAAAAAAAAAAGAGAGACGTTTGTGTGCCTTGGTTTCTGCAGAGCACGCCGTGTATAAGCCACTGCACCCTCTGAAGTTCCTCAGTATTCAATGCAGCGCAATGTAATCCGAGCCCCAGTCATGTTCTTCTTTCTTCTATTTTTTTTTTTTTTTTTCAGTGAGACGGTAAATTTATATGTAGAAGGGAAGGAGAGCACGGCGGAATTTTTGAAATAAGGGCTCACAAAACAAAATCAAACAAACAAAAATATAATGACAACTTCCGGGTTTAAAAAATATCGCCGTTTAAAGTCTCGCGTTGAATACCCATAAAATCATATATGGAAATTTTGTTTTGAAGGACGTTGTTTGATCTCATTTACGTTGCTTCCATAATTCAATGCAAAACGAAGCTAACAAGGCGGAGCCTAAACAATCTTTTTAAGCCATCGCTATAAACTTATCACGGCCTTCTTTAAAGGTTTTCTTTGGTTTCTTAAAGAAAATATTAAACGCCACGTTAGGAGTCACACCATTTAATATGCGCGAGCAGCAAAACCAGAACCGCTTGAATGTCGTGAAACTTTAATCGGGAGTAGAAAACAAAACGTCTACCATCTTCGGCTTGCTGCTCGACATAATACTTCTATACAGCTTCAACGAGATAATATCATATACTGTCAGATTCCGCTCTTTTTCATATTATTCCTCTTCCTATTATAGGTGTGTCCGAATATAAGCCACTTTGCGCACAGCGCCGCTCGTGCCGACGATCGTACAACCCATATTTTACGGTGCAAATAACGGAGGTTGACACTGAAGGCCACAGCTTGCCAAATCGTCGCACGGGGATAAAATATATCACGGTTTTAGAACCTTGTCCGTCAAGAGGTGTTAACGTTATCTCTCGCAAAAGCTAAACTGAGGAGAAATTAATTATCGTGAAACCTGGCCCCTTCCTTTTTATTTCGTTTCGACTGCCCGCTTCGAGAAGTCCCCGAGTGGATTCAGCCCAACCACGCGCTCGGAATACTAATTAGTGGTTTATTTATTTTAGGCATTTTATAACTATTCAAAAGATGATCGGTTTTCAGTTTTAATCAATAGACCTACAAAGTTACAGGCAGCTTAAGAAACGCAAAGTTTGGAGAGTACCAAGATTTTAATTATTGCTCCACAGCAAATGAGATCGGATCATTAGCTGATAATGAGGTCGATGAACGAATGGTAAAGCAAGAGACGCGCACATGATAAGCCAGGCCCTCCCTGCTTTTTTTAAGCTGTCGGTGACGATAGACTTAAGTGCGATCCAAACCAACGCTTCTTTTTGCTCCTGTAGGTCGTGCGGCTGCGGATGTGACGTATTTTCGTGACGTCGCGCCGCTTCTTCGCTCCTTCCGGGCGCGCACAAGAAAGTTGGTTGATATCAACTTCTTTCTCAACGCGCACAAAAACGCGCGGTGACGTAGTAGGACGCTCCTGTGTCCCGGCCAATCGGTGGAGGGCAAGCTAGTTCCGGCTCCGCGTTTCTCGCCGTCTGGCTGCCCTCTCCTCCCCCGCTTTTATTCTCTTCCAACATGACAACGCGATCTCTCTCTCTCTCTCTTTCTCTCGCCGTCTGGCCGGCCAGTCTGTCGCAGTTGCACTTCGCTTGTGCGCGCGTGCCTGCGTGCGCGCTCGCCCGAAGTTTCGCCCGTCCAAACCAAAGCGCACGGTTCTGACTCAGAAAGCGCGCCCGGAAACAGCAAAAACGCCACGAAATGCGTCACATCCGCAGCCGCACGACCCACAGGCGCAAAAAGAAGCGTTGGTTTGGATCGCGCTTTATGGAGAAAAAACGTGTACGCCTTTTTGCACAAAAAGAGGACATAACACAGATTTCGTCAAACTTATTGGTTAAAATAAATAAAAAAATAATAAATGATGCTTCCAAAACACAAAAATGGTGGATCGTTAATGTTCCAGAGCTTTGTGAGCGCACGATAACAATTTACACAAGCTTACAGTTTTTGAACATTCCCATAAGTCTACATTCCTTTAGAGCCTATCAGTGCAATCTTCTTACAATTGCAAATTTTGACACTGCCGAAAAAAATAATTTTCGTAAAAAATAGGAAGGCTGAGCATTACCCATAAGCATGACTGTTTTCCATTCTCGCGTCGTGCTTAGCGTCGTATTAAAGAGTGTGTTTAGAAAGAAAGACAGTTTCGCGATTATCATTTTATTATTTTTCCATATAGGGGGGTGATTCGCTCTTCGAGTTGTCTGGAGAAATGTACATGCACGAGCATTGGTAAACTTGGAACAGTATTTTCAGTTAGAGACTTTTAACGCACATTTTCTCGCAATTTATTTAATGTAAATAACAAATATAGCAGATGACGGTATCCCAAAACAAGGACAAAGGATGATCTTATATATATTCTAAGAAGTCGTATTTCTCTCCCACAATGTGCGAATAAGCGAAAACAATAGCCGTAGCACGGTGGCGCGATGCGGGTGGAAAGATGCCGTGACGTACCTGAGGACGAAGGTGTGACGTGGTTAATTCTCATAGCAGTCGTCGTTGGCGTCGTGGACACCACTGACGACCCCCATCATTGCGCGGTTATCCGTGAGGCAAGCTGGTAAGCGCAGTGGAAGCTTCTAAAATCATGCAAAATTACGCATAGCAACTGTATACTGCCAAAGTGGAAGTTCGCATAACACGAGCAATGTTAGAAAACAAGTCTTTCAAGCAGACGACACGGAGATTCTCCTTCGATTTCACCTACGGGAAGTCTCGTCGGCCGTGCCACGGTACTTGCAGTCAAAAGTTGTTTTCGCTTCTTCGCGCGCGCGGCGACGACAACCCACGAGGTCGAAATCTCTGCAAAGTGTGACCCGTAAAGCTATCGTTCTAAAATTACGACAGTTCGCTGTAGTATCAATGTGAAACCACAGATGAAACATTCCACGTAGTAGGTTATACAACTTGCCTTATTAATTCGTTGTCAAACTACTGATCGAAGCGATTCGCCCTGTACCACTTAATACCCGAAAGACTTACTGGTGCAGGATTTTAAATAAAACAGCAAAAACACTCCAGACGAGAAAAATAATTCACGCACAAAGGATCTACGTTGACAAGCGCGTGCGGGTGTTTAAAAAAAAAAACAATGAAATAATATTTTTTATTTATTTTAGGCAGAAGAATTTTTTTCATAGCAAATTTAACTACTGGGGACACAGACAGGGCTAAAACGTTGGGCCAGTTGGTGATTCTTAATATTAAAAAGCGCAACGAGGCACAAAGAAGACAAAATTTGAGCCTTTTAATGGTGTGTTTTTGTGTTTCTTCAATGGCTTGTTTTCTTGGTGTTTTTTTCACACTGGTTTTATATACCAGGTGACTAGGGAAATAAAGTTAAGTTGTAAGTAAGTTAGCGGTGTGGTCCCTGTCTATCTTCCCTGACCGTGTTTCGTTGCGCCTGTTTTAAATAATATTGGGGAGAAAGAGCACGACCAAGTCACGAAGAAGAAGAACAAAGTTATGAATGCCGTCAATGCGTAAATCTCTCTCTGCAACTGAAGGAAAGGGGCCGACAGCGGTTGTAAAGCGACACTCACTTCGTGTTCCAAGTCTTGCTCGCTCCAGCCTTTCCACCGCACCGCTTCGGAAGGTCTGTCGTCTTCCTCTTTCAGCCTCTCCTCGCTGCCGCCACTCACGTCTGGAGAACGCAGATAAAACGGACGATGTAGTAGACAAGAACCGCACAAAAAACGATAAAAAAAAAGAAAAGGAGGGGATGTGCGGGCTCGTCTGAGGACCCGCGTTTCGCGATGAAGGCTAACAAATAGAAAAGAAGAGAGAAACACACGCATACAACAAGAATATGGCTGTTGTCGTCGAGTCAGTCTTCATGAAGGCTCTATAGAAACACCCCTTTGCGAAAAATTGTAGACAGCGTCGCGCATTTGAATGCCACTTTGCTCCAAGGCTTGACGCGGCAGTGCGTGAGGAAGGACACACGTGGAGACGGTCTGATACGTCTTAAGGCTTAACGTCTGCCTTACTTCAAAGGACGAATTTTTTAAAACATTTTTTGGGGTATCATGAGGAAGTTTAGCTGTTCAGTATCTTAGCTTTCTTTGATTCTTGTTGTTTTTGCGTGAAGTTAGGTTTGGTATAAGTATGCGAAGCGCTGGTTAAGATGTAGAGCACACTGATAGCTAATGAAGGATGGTTTATGAACTCAAAAAGTGAATTTGAGAATCATATGAACTATTTTACGAAGCGATGTTTCTTTCGCACGATGAAGCATATATAAAACTCGTCTTCATTATTGTATTTTATATCTTACTAAAAGCGGGATGACTATGTTTGCTCCTTTTACCCTCTTACCCCGGAGTTTTCTGAGTATGATCGATCAACTGCTGGCCTGTACGCAATCGCTTATAGAAGTGATCCACTTTGTAATTAGCTATGGCCTTCCCAACGCAGATTAAAGTATATATGTCTGGATATCATTGATCTAACTTGTAATTAGTCAGAGTTACTTTATTCACGGCACTCATTGGTTCCCCACCTGATTTGGTTCTCCACCTGTTGGCAACACGAAACACGAATATAGTAACAAGTGTGAGAAAGGCAACAAACCAAACCCTTAGTGTGACGTGATGAGGAAGAGCGAACAGGCCTTTTCAGTACCTAGGGGGTGTATGCTGGGCAGTGTGAGGTTACAAATACTATGCGAAAACCTGGCTATGATGGACGTTCAGCACAAGGCATGAAGACTGACACCGAAAAAGCGGCTCTACAGTTTCTGATTCTTTTTCGTGCAACTTGCCCCGCACTGCTTTATGAGTTTCGTAACCAATGATTTATGTTTCCAGTTAAGCGGTTGGGCATTATACGTGCAGGAGGCCCTAAAAGTGAATAGTCGTATTTAACTTCTTACGAACGGTCAACACTTACCGAGAACTACGTCGGGACACTTTTCTTCACTTTGTGGGCTTCGTAGTTTTAACACACCGTCGGGGTACTGCTGAAGAGGAGCAATTTGCCTGAAACGTCGAAAAAACAAAATAAGAAAAAATGCCGAGTTACCCAAATCTCGGAAAACGAGATTTTAGGTAACTCAGGAGCTTTAGTATTGGCACTAAATTTCGACGAAACAAGCAATATTCTGATCGCCGTGGTCTATGAAGCTTACACAGCAAGGGCACGAGGCAGAAAAGAAAGTGAGTTTTAATTCATAACACCATTTGAGCAAGGGTAACTGAGAAGGCGAGGCGCCACGCAGAACCTCCTCGCGCAGATTGCGTTAAGAAGAAAAACTTAGTTTTTACAATTAAAAATATCGCTATTCACGCTCAATACATTCCAGTGAATGGCCCTTCGCGTCCTGTACGTGAATGTAGACGCGTAGGCATTTGTTAGATTGTTGTGGTTACAGACAGGTTAAAACGAGCGGAACCGCGGCATGATATGTTCACGCTCGCTGCTTCGGAATTTATATTATATTATTTAGTATAATTATTGTATTTATATAGTAAGATGATCGGAACTCCCCACGCTTGGCCTTTTGTAAGCTGTCAGTCACTGCAGGCGCTACAATCTCAGTTGTTCCATTCACTGGGTAAAGAAAAGAGCGATCGGTTTCATGCTTCAATGACCATCGAGCTTCAGTGGCAGAGAGGGGCGCCGCCTCGTCACCAGTGAGACTGTATGATCATCGGGGCGCCATATTACAACTACTGATTCGATAAGATCACAAAAAAAAAAAGTTATTTGTCTTTCTAATGCATCACGAGACAGGATGCACGAATGAATTTGAGGTTGTAAAGACCACCATGTTTGATTTATTTGAGTTCGGTAGGCCCTATTCAAAATCCCATAATAAAAAAAAAGACAGCAGTTTTTTTTTTATTTAGTATACATATTGAAGCCAGAAATTCCAAACTGGTGCCTCAACTCCCTCGTGACGCAATATGTTTGAATACAAATCCTTGGAGAAACATGAAGCTATTACAAAGTGCTAGCCAATACTGACGCCTTTTTTGGTCAATGACATCAAAAATAACACTCACTGTTCGTCATCTCCTTTCGTTGGTTCGCTTGCTGAAAATGAAAAAAAAAGACAACACGTGCTCAGTAATGTGCTCTTAATAAGATTAAAAAAATAATTATCATACATTAGCCTGATCCTTTAGGCATCGCTAGCCCGTGCATCACTACTTAAGAAACATCTTGGTCATAAACCTCCTGACTATTTTAACCACTTTATTATACGCTATACGCATTTTAATATGAACACGTGACACAATAGCGGACATATTACAAAATGTAAATTGTTTCTCGAAAAATAATTTTCTGCCTGCGAACTCTTTTGTTATAATAATCTAAATGCACAATAACTGGGAAAATGAAGCATTTACAAATAAAATTTAAAAAAAAATCATTGAATCGATAAATTTTCATTCAAACCTATGGGAAAATGTTATTTAGTGCTTGAACAGAGGTACATCCAATGCCGCTTTGCGCGTTATCTTTTTGGCACTATCTTACCTTTAAATATACATAAATACACAACTTCAAGCAATTTCAAAAAGCAACCATAAAATCAGAGCATTTCGGAAAGTAATTTTATATTCAAATTTAGTTCTACTCTCTGACTTTTACTTTCCAACTCCACGAAATTTGCTATATTGTTCACGTTGTAACCTCACCACTCAAAACACTGTCAGCAATTCCCAAAGATCCTACATGCATAAAACCATGGGATGTACTACGCGTAAATTATACCTAATGTTATTTTAATAAATACAGCCAATCACTTCAGACAAGAGAGTCCTTCACGCTGGTATGCCGAGTGTATTAATCGGCAGTGTTGACCCAGGGAAGTCTGAGACATCGCTCATGCATACTGCTCGGGCCCCCTCTCTCGGGACTCCTTAGAACGTCTCTTCTCTCGTAAGAGCTCCTTGCACTTAAGTGTTTAACGACGAATCCCCGAAAATTCAAAGGGAATGTCGTCATACATCGTCTCATACAGTAAATGTGGCGTAAAGAATATTGACGGAAAGGAGTAATATTTTTTTTGTTCCGACAGGCTGCGTGCGTATCCGTTGAACACCTCATCCATCAATCTTCGTGTGACACTTTTTTTTTTTTCCTTTTGCACCTACACAAGTAAAGCGAATTTGGTGAGACGTATAACATGCAAATGGCTCAGAAAGAAACGTTTCATGTAACATAATTTGGTAGCTATGTTGCTTAAAATCTTTGTTTTTGCAGTTTTTGTTTCTCGTTATAACTTGAATAAGGGTGGTGTTGATACCGCTAACAATTTACCTGTTATGTTAAATTGCGTGTTTTCGACCACCGCGTTTCTTATCTAAAAAATGCATGCCAAGCCATTCCTAAAAATCATTTCAACATCCTTCCACCCGATTTTTTTTTGCGCCATGTCATGGTCTAATATGTAAATTCTAAAATGGCTGTGCAGCATGTTGTTCACGGAAGCTAAAACTTACACTTGGGAACTTGTACTCTTTGCGCCATTTAATAAAAGGGAACCTTGAACTAAATCAGTATTCTAAAACAGGGCGCAATGTCCAAATATAAAAGAACGCGTGTTTCTCTATGTATCTTTGCAGATCCTTTTTGTTTTGGTATTTCGTGTGTGTTCAGGATAAACAATAAATATTTAATGAGCATGCCCGGTAAACGCACAGCAGTCTTGTACACGTTACTAAAAAAAAAGTAATCGATTACAATTACTATTACTCTTGGCTAAAAAGTATTCGATTAGATTACTTGATTACTCGACGGCAAAAGTAATTGGACATTACTTAGAGAAGTAATCGTTACTTTTCCGATTACTTTATTGTGTGAAGACACATCTTTAGCGCTCATAACAATGAAATACTTCCAACCTATATTTCCTATTTGCACATGTATTGAAGAAGAAAAACTGGCTCCCTCTTCGTGCACCTTCACAATGCGGACACAAGCATAGAATTCGTTTGAAAACGTCTAATGATTTGGGCGTTCGCCAGTTTGTGTGTGTGTGTGTGTGGGGGGGGGGGGGGGGCGAGCGGAGGGGGGTACTAGATCTTGTTCTTGTTAAGCTTGAGCAAGGGTTGTCGCTCAAAGTTTGCGTCGCTCATTTCATTATTCACATGTGGATGAGCTCGCATGTTATACAAAAGAGCAGCAGCTCCAGGATTTGAAACAGATCATGTGTAGTATCCATTGCGGAAGAGATCGCCCCGACCTAGGGAGCCTTCATGTGCGCTCACATGAAGGCACCCTACCCCGATCACTTCTCTACTCGAAACATTGCTTGTCACAAAGACCACGTAGGGTAAATGGGGAAATATTTCAACTGCCTTTGTTATATTTTGCATCCGCTTTAGGCATTTTTCGGTTCTGGTTCTCCTACGGGCTGCAAGTAGGTACCCTAAGCAGAATTTTTCTTTTTTATTTCTGTGTGTGTGTGCGTGAGGGGGCTAGTTTGAACGAAGGACCCACAAAGCTACATTCTGCTTTCTTAAACTTCGCCCTGAATGGCCTTTGTCACGCACTGTGGCTTCCCTGGGGCTTCCCACTCCCAGTCGCAGCTCGAAAAAAAAAAGAAAACGGACATTCCACAAAAACTACACATAGAAAAAGATTAACCTCGTTTCCTACAGCTCCGCAAAAATCTTTCTTTTTTCCGCTCGAAAAAAAAGCAAATTTTATTTTTGTCATTTCATAAAAAAAAGGCGTGTGCCCGGGGGGGTGGGGGGGGGGGTGGGGGGGTCTCGTGGACAAATTGTAACGGTTACAAGTAATTTTATTACTTTAAAAAGTAATCAGATTACTCTTGTGATTACTGCCTAATAAAAGTAATCAAGTGATTACAAAATTACTCCGAAAAGTAATCGATTACAATTAATTTGATTACTTGTAATGCGTACGGTACAAGTCTGACGCACAGCATTACGTATTTTGATAGACCTTTTATAACTTCAAGTAAATGGTTAAAGACCTACCTTTGCTCTTTAATTACAGATTACGTGTTGCTTCTGGGATTTTATTCGGATCGGCACCTTCATTGGCTTATCATTATAGCATACTAAACATACTAATCTAGAGCTACGTCTTTTTCTCTGTGCCTAGGACTTTTTGATCAGAATCGTATATTGACCCCGTCGTATGCAAGTTCAAAAGATTAATGTTATTCGTCTTATCTTAACACGCACCGTGGAAAAGGTTGAAGCGTACAAAGGGCTAGCTTCAGGTAAGGTATACGCTGCACGTGCGTTTGTACATCTAAGACACGTTTAAGACCGCGAAGCTTGCGATTAGAAACTTCAAACATCATGCGAAAACGCAGGAGACAAACAATAATAAATAACATCAAGGTTTCCGCGGCGAATAGAAAGTCATGGAATGACGAAGAAGTTAGCAAGTTGAACATTGCAACGTCCTCTTTTTATTTTGAGATAGTCAGTATACTCCCATCGAAAAAGCGCTCCATTTTATGTTTCCAAGCGTGATAGTTTACAATATATTGAACAGATTGGTGTGTTTTCGAACTTCCATCACAGTGCAATCCTTAAAAGAAAACGTTCAAAATTGCACAGGTGCTTATCGATATTCATAAAAGCCATTACCAATACCAGACGTTTGGGGGAAAAAATGTATCACTACAATGTACTTTGGCTAGATGTCATACAAAATCTCATTGCTATTAACATTACTAATCACGCTCCTGGTCAAAAACTCAATGAATAAATGAATATGTCTGGCTCTCAGATATAGCACATTCAGAAAATAGTGTTCTCTTTGTGCAATATTGGCATCTTAAGTTCGCGCAGCCCTACCACAAAACAATATTAATATGATGTTGTAGTGCAGCAGACAGTTTTTTTGATAAGTCGGTGAATAACCAAACTTCTCAGACGTCCTTTTCTTTCGCTTCTAGAACGCCAGAAACACAGAAGGGACTTCCCGCAACACTACTCATATCCATGTATCTTTCTGATCCTATGCCTAGCATAGGATCAGAAAGCAAAGTTGGAACTTTTGCTAGCATGCCTAGCAAAGGCTCCAACTTTGAGATTCTACTACTAAGGGCCTTGAAGCTTAAGGCGGTGGTGTCTTTTTTATTACTTTAGAATACCAGGTGAAAAAAGTTATTCTATGTTGTTCATTCGTAGAAGGGAAGGCACGAAAGCAAAGTAAAAAAGTTAATATTATTTATTTTTATGTTTTAATATTTTTATATCGCGATTTTTGTACACTAAATAGTGACAAACTTGAGATGTAGTTTAAAAGGCATAGGCTATAGGATGTTGCACTTTGCTTAAACAAAACAATATAAAATGCAAAACCTTTGAAATTCACTACGCCCATAGCGAGACCGAACTGTTTCAATGAACCGACGAAAAGGCGCAATAAACTACGTGGAACCACTCTTAAATGAACAGACAATCCCCGAAGCGAACTCACGTTTCCGCCTGTCCTTGTTCGCCCGAAACCTGAGCAGCAACGGGACGAGGAAGGCGACCGACACAAGTCCAACCGCACAAGCGATGAGAACCACGAGCAGCGGGCTCAGGCTGCCGGGCCAGAGCGGCTCAGTGAGGCTCTGTGACCCTGCCAGGGTCCTGGCCCCTAGCAGGGTCACGGGGCTGCGACCCTTGGCCGTCACCGCGTACAGCCGCAGCGAGAGCCGCGCTCCTCCAGTGAGCCCACTCACGGACCACACGGGCCGCTCGCTCGAGTTGGCACGCAGCACGGTGCGGTTCAGCTCGTCCAGGACATGAAGCACGAACAGGGCCGGCATGCCGCCGTCGTCTCCGGGCTCGCACTCGACGACGAACGCCGTCGCGGTCCGGTTGTGGATGCTGCAGTTGCGCGGACTCTCGGGGTCCCTGGCCGGGCTGATGCTGAACACGCAGGGCTTCCGCTGGGTGCCGACTTGGTTGGTGGCCCAGCAGAGCAGGCGGCCCAGGTCGGCCGGGAGCCGCGGCACGAGCGTGATCTGGCTCGAGTGGCCGGACCAGGTGAAGTTCGTCAAGGTGTCGTTGTTGAGGCGCCAGTGGAAGTTGCTGGCGCCGGGCTGGGCGTCCACTTCGCAGTTCACGCGGACGGGCTGGTTCGAGGCGGCGCCGTACACCTGCTTCTGACCCCGGCGACACACCGGAGCGTCTGCGGGGTGAAAAGGGAAGGAAAGCGGAGTACCTAAATCGTCAATTCTATCTTGTTGTTCTTCTAAGTTCATTGGAAGAAAGGCGCTGAATAGCTCCAGGAAACATTCAAAACGAGTCTTATGCTCCATTTCATCTTAAGACAGACGGGTGCAGACATCACGAGCCATCCTAGCTCAATTCAGCGCTGTGAACATATCACTAGACTACACGCCTCGCGCGTCGCTAGGCCCGTGTTGAAGCCCACATGATACTCACACCGCAGTGGATTGACGTCGGTGGCTCGTAGCGCCCTCTGATGTCTAGGGTAAGTTAAAACAAAGTACACAGTACACATTTTGAAAACTGAATTTGTAACGAAGAACTCGACAATAATAAGCAGAGAATTAACCAAAATGCTGTCTTCGGTCAATAATTCCTTCAAAACCAATAGACTCCGCAGCCTGGATTTAGCTATTATTTTAGAACCCTCCCAACAAACTGCCAAACATCACGACGCAATGCTGAAGACTAGAAGGGTCCTTCTTTCTCTTCCTTACACTGGAAGTTAAGGTGCAGCGTGTTGCTGGTCCCTTCCCCCTGGGAGTTGACGGCGCTGCAGCTGTACGGGCCCTTGTGGTCCAGCTGGATCCTCTGGAGCACCAGAGAGCGGTTGTTGACCAGCACGCCGGCCGTGTGGTTGCTGAACAGCTCCCGCCTGCCGAACCACCAGCGGACCTCCGTCACCGGTGGGTTGGCCTCCACGGCGCATTCGAGGTACACGTCCTGCCCCTCCTGCAGCTGCGAGTGGCGCAGGCTCGTCGCCAGCTTCAGCGTCAGCTTCGGCGCGACTGCGAAGAAGCGTACATTTTGTTAGCCGTGACCGGTAACAGTCATAAGTCTGATCTACATACCCTACTAAGCGATCGCTTGAACACCCTCAGATGCTCCTACGTTTATACACCCCCCGATATACTCGGAACACGAATTGATGCTATTCGCTGCGCAGTCAACGCGACTATGGCATTAGCCTATAGGAAGGCTGACCAAGGAGTTGAGAAGCAAAAAGTATAAACATACGAATCCATGTCTCGCGTGTTTCAAGTTGTCGGCAATTGTAGTTAGGAACAGAATCGGCTGACTCACACATCACCTGCAGCCGGAACTCGGCGAAGATGTCCGAGCCGGGGATCAGGTCGTTGTCGGCGCGGCATCGAATAAGGCGTCCGTGGTGCTTGGCGGTGGGCCTGAGCGCCAGTAGGCTGAGCGTCACGTTGCCGTCGAGCGACTCGTTCTGCTTAGCCCCCGGCAGCGCCGAGTCTCCCAGCAGCCAGGTAATGCGTGAGCGGGGCCGGGAGCCCACGGCTCGGCACGACAGCCAGCCCGTCTTGCCGGCCTCCAGAGGGCGGCTCACGGACTCCACGCTCACCTCCAGCGGACGGACTGCGGAGCGACAAAAAGGAGGCGGCAACGAAATGGGTGATAGCATGAAAATCGTCAAATTACAAGAAAAAAAAAAGTCTATTTGGGTCTTTATATGTGATTTCCGTCCGTTTATTAAGATTTATTTTTGTCCCGTCTCTCGCGAAAGACAAGAGAAACAGCATGTAGTGTCACGGGCCCCTTGATTAGTATTTGAGGTACCCTCTTTATCCATACATTTATTATTTTTACTTCACTCGTTTATTTTCGCCTGCCACACGGAAAAGCGTAATTACGGTTGCTTCGAATGGCGTTCGTGTGAACGGCGAATCAACTGGCCATCTGTCGCGCGTAGAATGTCCTCCGCCAGAAGTGGCGCTGGCTGATTAGCCGATTGTTTAAATGTCGCTCGCAGGAACTGACATGAAATTACGCGTCCGAAAGAGGTAAATTAATACAATCGCCTGCATTTTGGAAGTGCCAAAAAAAGTGCACGGTATAGGTTAGTGTCCAAAAGTCTTAGCCCCCAGTAATAAAAATGGGAAATTACAACCTGAAACCTAATCTCTTGTGAAGAGAAGGGTCGCGCATACAACAAGATTTTTTTCTATTTACATCACTCTTGTCATTGGTGCTGTTCTTGCAGCTTTTAAAACTATGCATTTTTTGCGGTCTTGCACATTAATATGTGCTAAGGGTTCTGAGATACAGTCTTGCAGAAAGCTCAGCCCCCACCGTGTCATGAGGTTAGCATAATCAAATTTGACGGCGCCCATGGAAGAGAGCAGACACTGGTCTATACTTTTGATAAGAAAGCGGTCTATTTTTTTTTAATCTCTTAGCTAAGAACACACACTCTTTTTTAAATTGCTATGTTGAGGCCAAGAAAAGTAGTGGAATATTTCTGCCATTTGCTTTGTGTGTGTGTGAGTGTGTTTGTGTGTTTGTGTGTTTGTGTGTGCGTGTGTGTATGTGTGCGTGTGCGTGCGCGCGTGCGCGGGTCTTTGCGATGGAAAGATAGATGCCAATTTTAGCGATGGTAGTACCGTATTTTCAGGACTGTACTCCGCACCGGGTGCATAGTACGCACAGGTGCTTAGTCGACACAACAATTTTCTCATACACGGCACATCTTGACAAAGGTCTGCTTTCTTAGCCCACAAAAAAAGCTTGCACTATACACAGATCATTATTAACAAACTCTTTCATTTAAAAAAAATCCGTCACGTCTCGTCACAACGAACGATCTTAAAAAACAACATTCCTGTATATCCCCACATGTAGACAGCCCGCACCACTTCAAATATCAAGTTTTAAATCATGTGTAGTCCATGGACGATATTTTGGAAAACGCGGTATCATTATGTTTCAAATTTATTCGGACGAACGCGGCTTCTTTTTTGTTGTTGGTCGAACCTACGAGATAAGCTTCCTATCACACACGTGCACCGCCTGGGTCGATTGAGGTAAACATAATAAACATCATGAGATACGACGAGAATAATTAAAAATAATCTAAGATGCACCGAGTACACACGCGAGCAAGAACCCTCCAACGTCCTTAACGATGACTGCGTTATTCGATTGCAGTGTACCAAAAATGATATTTCTGCAGCCAACAACATAAGAAAAAGATTTGATGGAAGAAAATAAGCTACGTGCGACGTAGATGAAACAAATCAGACGCGTTTTGAACGGACTGGGCACAGTTGTTTTTATTCATGATGTTGGTCACTCAAAGAAAAAGGCATCTCCCGAGAGCCTCGCAGGGGCAAACGATGTTTCGATAACTTTATAAAACTTGCGGCCGTGGGCACTGAACAATCCCACCGCGAGGCACTTGGACTTCCCCAGGATGAAAGCCAAAATCACGGTGAACTTTAAAGCAAAAGTGAATTGTGAAGTTGGATTCAAAGGAAGAATAATGTCGCGGTTGAAGTCAGAGTAACATTTATTTGTGCAGAAAATGTCTTTATATTACATGTATACACGTAACCGTTGTCCAGAAGATCTTGAATAAAACATCTTTAGAGACTGTAACAACGCTAAAGTATAACCCAACCAGAACTGAGCAACCTCAGGGAGTACTCTTGGGTTCCGATGATAATGCAATTAATGCATTGTCCCCTTTGTTCCCTTTTCCAGGGATTATTATTGTAATTCTTGGGTTCCACTCAAATCTAAGTGAGGATCAAATGCGGAAATCGTGTCTAATTTATAATCTGTATGCGGCCCCTCGAACCCAGGGGAACGACAAAAAGCATGAGAATTTTCTGTAAAAAGGAAATGTACAATAATCTGCTCCAATTGGTGAAATTACACTGCAATATTGAAGCTGCTGACTCAATAGCGCGTGTTATTCTGCTTGTCTCGCGGCCGTGATGTTTTTAATCAAATGTGTAAGGAGAGAGGGCAAGATTATTGAAAATAAGTTGTCTTACTTTAATGGGAACAGCAATTATTTGAACGTTGTTTAATCCATTCAGCCGCTGAAAAGAAAAGGCGAAAGATAATGTATCTATAATGGTAATGCCGTTTCAGTGACAAAAAAAGTGGATTTCTTGTTTGTTTGTTTTTTTGCAACTGAAGCGTTTATGACATTGTTGCACAATACTTCCTAACTAAGCATATTAAATTCAAATATTTTTAATTGATGTGCATTGAAGCTGGCCTTAAAGTAACATTTTTCAGCAGGAAATAAAGAACCAGAGATGTAGGAAATTGTCAGCAGAAAAAAGCATCAGAGAAATGTGACCCGCATAAAAAAATATATGCGAGAGGGAAGTGATTCAACCAACGTGACGTCATCAACTCTTGTGACCACGTCACGTGATGTGGATTGGGTGGTTACATGACCTCTCTTTGCTAAATATGCGGGTGATGTCTCGCAGGTCAATTTTCGCGAATTTAGTTGGATTGGTACATTAAGATCCTCGGCGGCCATTGCGATATAGTGAGCGTCGCAGCCACAGCTTTACTCCTATTGGCCGGAATAAGTGACCATGTGGTTATACTGAGAAACGACGGCCTTTTCGTGAATACTTGCATCCTGAGTCACGGCGAATAAGCGGGGGCACCGAGATTAGCAGACCCAAAGACGTACCCTACGTAGCATGCTTTTCTCATTTATGACCAGAGCAGAGCAGTATTTTTTTTCTATTTTTGGAACAAAAAACTGAACAAAAGTTGGTAAAAAATGCAAATAGAGACCTTATCGCTGACGAAATGTGCATGCCAATCTGGCGTTCCTCTTTTCCGATTTTCAACACACGTTTATTATTGCCTACAAACAAGAACGTGCGAAGTTTGCTTCTCCTCGTTTTAACTCTTGTGGCAGAGAAGTACACTTGCCGGTAGAGCTGGAAACCGTCTGCTACGGGTGGCGGACGTTCATTGCGGCCACTGACCATCCACGTCACTGTTCCTGCTGGATTTTGCCAAAACTCCAATTGTAGCTATGCTGACTCTCTATTAGTACATTTAAATTTTTCTGGCCTCCGAAACCGTAATTTCTATTGAATGATGGACATTAAATGCGCCAGGTAATGGTCGCATCACATTCTCTAATCGTTCCAACCTCGAAAAATCTACACCTCATATTAGTCCCACGCAATGTTTATTCAGATCTTGAGCACCATTGAAAGGCTCAACCATGGAAGCAGAATGACGCGGTGCGCATTGAAGAACTTCGGGGTAACAATCCCCCTCACTGACCACATTGGCGAATTTGTTGCATATCTCTCTCTCTCTCTCTCTCTCTCTCTCTCTATATATATATATATATATATATATATATATATATATATATATATATATATATATTTATATATATATAAAGAAAATATTTTGGAGTTTTATTACTGCACTTACGTGCCTTAGTGAAGCGCTACTACGTAATACACGTTAAAAACGCCAGGGTATTACTCACACTACACCAGTAAGTTCGCTCGTCTCCCCCATCATTAAGTTTTAAAAAACGTTTGAGTATTCATTTTTGATTAAAAATTACAGTGGTGTGTCTATAGCAGATTGCTACCTGCAAGTAGAAACCCAGGCAGCACCGAGTTCTGGGCCAAAACTTGGCTTTTGTCTGGGAGTTTAGGGCATTGAAATGCCCGAAGAAGCCAAATAGAGCCAAACCTGACCTTCCTTGGCAACAGTCAGGGTATTTTGGCCCTAATTCGCCAAACAAGTGTCACACTTAGGCTTCAATTTTTGATAGTTCGGCTGTCATTCGGCCCCTTCGGGCCAAAATCGCCACAGATGTGCCAGAGTTAGGCTTACTACCTTGTAGTTCGGTTGACATCTGGCATCTTTGGGCCCAAGTCGCCAAACGAGTGCCAAAGTTAGGCTTAGATTCCCTATAGTTCGGCTGAAATCTGGCAGCTACGGGCCAAAGTTGCCAAACAAGTGCCAGAACTAGGCTTACTGCCTTGAAGTTCGGCTGATGAGGTATTTGATGTACGCGGAGGTCTTCATCTTAATTAAATAGAAATCAAGTTTTATTCGGCTGGCCAGTTTATCTTATTTTGGGTATCTCTTGATTTCTCCAGTACAAAGGTTGGCTGAATGTTTGGACGCGGCTGGACCAGGATTTGCAAACGCAAATTGTGCCGGATGTTGTACTCGCGCGTAGGTACACACGTCAATATCGGGACGCGCCGTGAGACTGGTTCAATATTAAGGCGCGTTCCCACCGGCGATGCGATCTAGTCGCGCGATAACTTTCATCGCAAAAGCAACCATCACGGGCAAAGAGCGACGCGATTTGAGCAGTCGCTTGCTGAGCCGACTTTTTGCGATGCGCTCTAGTCGCGGAGAGGCTGAGCCAATCAATGGCGTTCGGAGCAGGAGTTTTTGAGAAGCGACTCGCCAACGAAGGCGTTGGACACGCTCATCGCGCACGCCAGAGTGACCATCTAATTACTTTTTTTTTTTTTTTTGCGATGCGATTTAGTCGCATCGCGCGACTGAAAACAACCCCGGTGTGACTGCGCCTTTACAGAAAGTGCTGCCATCGT